CTGTCCACTACAAAGATTGTTTACAAAAGGAAACTGAAAATAACACGGCCTATGCTTGCCAGCTTTTCTTGGGAAGTATAGTGATATTGTGACTGCTGCCCTAAAAGGAAAGTAAAGAGAGCTCAGATCCATAATTGGCTCTTCTTGGTGTGTTAAATTTGTATATGCTAACTCATCAAATTCTGTTTGTTTCTCAACAAGATAAAAGATTATACTTAAATAACATAATTAATTATATTCATAGTAATTATGAGTTCACAAACACTGGGAGAATTAGTAAGGTATTGTTTTCTCAAAAATTTGGAACACATTATGGTTTTGCTGTTTTTATTTTGACAAAGTAAATTAATGAGTAAGTAAAATACTTTTTCATTTAAAAAATTGTTAGCAGTTGTGAAGAGTTTTCAGGTTTTTTTCACTTTAATTTTCAAAACTCAAATCAGCAAAAAAGATGGCTAATCTTGTTTTCACATGAAAAACGAAGACCAAGCCAGGGCTCACTTTCCATCCCACTCTATTAGACATATCTCAATATAGTAAACAAAGTTATTGTAAGATTTTCCCATACAGATATGTATGCTGTTTTGTTCTTCCTCCTAAAAGCTTCATACTCCAGTTATCCAATTCTAGCCAAGGTCATCTGTAACTAAATTTACTAAGTATAGAACAATGTCCATTTCAAGCCAGAGATTTAGAATTTCTACAGTTGTATACTTCTAGGCAAGTAACAGGATAAGTAGGTCAGGTTCCATTAATGTCTCCTAGATCCAAGATGGCAAACACTATTCTTATATTTATTTGTAAAGTAGTATTTAGAAAAAAAACCATTTTAATGCTAAGTGATGTAAGGGTCATTGATCAATTTTGTACAGCATAATATTTGATTTCTAATTAGAACATGACCTATGATAGTTTTAGATTAAAATCTCATAGATTATTATAAAATACCCTATGGAAATTGTTTGAATACATTTCTGTTGAAATAGTTTGAAGTATAGCTACAATAAAAAAAATCTTTCACTTATATTTTTATAGGGTTCTGGAATTTGAGTGTTCAGTGCTCCCTCTCCTGGTTTTATCATTAATGATGAGCTGACTTCTCAATCCCCAAATTGTGGTGAGAGCTGAGAAGGTAATTTTGAAAAACCAAGTAAGATACTCTGATGTCATACTCTATTTCTGATTTAACTACTCCAAATCTATTAACAAGAAATCCCATCAATCATTGATAAAAATTCTAATGAGCTACGAAAACATAGACAAAATATTCATTTTATGTTTGAAGATGGACTTTTAATACAACCCATCATATTAGGGGTGAATGTTCCATGTTATTCCCTGAGGATGGTTTTGTTGTTGATGTTCTTTGTAGTGTCCTGGGCTCCTTAGAAGCTATCTAAACACAACTTGGATTTTTGAAAGTGTTCACACATTTGAAAGTCCAGTATTGAAAAACAGAAATTAAAACAAAAATTTCAACATCACTTGCTAATGTAGAAAAAAACAAACAAACCCACAAAACATTTTGAATTGAAAATCCAAACCCCAAATTTGAAAACTTTTGAGTGGCACTTTTTGTAAATGTAATATAAAGATATCATAAAGGTGAAATTTACTGCCATGGGTATGTAAATAATTGCTTTGTGACATAATTTCCTAAGAACCAAACACTTGAGAAAAAACCCAAATTCCTTCTATTTTGTAAAATGTTCGAATAATTTTCCAAAAAACCCACCGTATTTTTAAAATATAAAAATCAAAAGGCAATTAAAGTAGAAATAATTTACCAAGAAATTTTCTAATTCTTCACGTGATAGATCACTGAAAAAGCCCTAATAATTGAGGAACTTAGGGAATTTGAACTTTTGTTATCAGAAGCGTGTACCATGCTGCACAGAAGGTAACTAAATGTGAAATTTTAAAGTTCTGTAGAAACTTAAGCTACTGAAAACCGCCAAAATATCGTTAATAGAACGGAAGCATTTTTTTAACCAGGTATCAAGAATTGGCACACAATTTTTTTCATGTTCTTTTATTTTTCACAATTCTAATTCACCTTCAAGGGTGGAAGTCCACCAATCCTTTGAAACTGGAGATCGTTTCAAATTCGAATGTGCTCCTTTATGACAAATTGCATTTGCAGAGTTTTTAGAGGCAATCTCAAATTTTTAGGGGGATGTCTATTACAGGAGTCCAGAGGGTAACATTTCCAAGTTGGTACACGCACAGGAAAGAGGAAATCCTGCTCCAGGTTTTCCGGCAGCCCTTGTGATTGACATATGATATCACTGGAGGCGTGTCCCGCAGTGGAGGTGGAGGTGGCCACGCGGAGCTGAAATTCTGCGGGGCCGGAGTGGGATCGCTCCGTGAGGCACGCAATGGTTTGCAGAGACAGCAACAGACCGAGCTCCCGCTCTGCTTAAGGAACAGCTGCAGTGGCTGTAAATGTGCCTGAAAAGCAACCTCCAGTCTTTGCATTAGGTAAGAACAATTTTCTTCCTTTCCTTCCGTAGACATTTTAGGAAAGATAAGGTGAGAAATGCTGGGCGTTGCAAGGAACCGGACAGTTCTTTGAACTCGCTCAGGGCTGAGATTACTGGTTACATTTCAAAACACGAGCAGCATTCCCACTGCTAAGTGCTCTCAAAGTAAATTCTATAGCTAAAAGGAAAAAGCTGGGTCCGTCTCACTTTTTTCTTTAACCCAAATGCAGCAAGTTTAGTCTGAAGCGATCGGACGTGTGCAACACAGGGTCGCTTGTGCAAAAGAGGGGCTGGCACTCGGTGTGTGGACCGCATGCCTGCTTTTTTTAGGCACTGTTGGCGACCGGATTAAAACCTGAATTTGTCGTCCCTGTGTATTGATTTCCAATGCGCAGAGGCGTTCCTTGAACGTTGTTTCAACTCCTAGGAATTCCAAGGAGCAAACGCGCTTCGGCAAAAACGTGCAAGACTGCATGTTACTCGGGTTCGCTGCTGACACGCCGACCGTACGCGGCCTGTCAATCACGGGGAGCGGCCACCGGCAGCACATGGCAGCGGGCTACGGGCGAGCTGGCCCTCTGCGGGGTGGCGGGGCGCTTCCTCTGCCGGAGCCTGGAGAGGAAGGAACTTCATGGGTCTCTGTCTCTGACCTGCAGCAGGCATCTGGCTGTGGAACCGCAGGGTCGGAGGACCTGGACTGAGCGCTGCCTGACTTGCTGGGACCGGAGTTCCCGGGGACGCTGCGTCCCTACTAACTCGGCGTGCGGAGCCGGGAAAGTGCCGCGGCCTTCGCGGGGGACAAGGACGACGCCCGCCCGCCTCTGACAACCACCCCAAACCTTCGCTCCCCTTTACCCAAAGAACCCCCTCCCCCACCTGCCTCCAGGGTCTCAGCCCCGAAGGCGCGTGCTCCGTGTCCTATCGAGGCCTGCGCGCCTTGGGGACCAGAACGGCGACGCCAGTTCGCGCCCGGTGGCGGGCGCCGCGGAGGCCCAGGCGCCCCTGACGCGGATTTTTCGGTCAGGAGGCCGCCGCCCCTTTGACTTCCCCGTGAGGAGCGGGCGGAACCCGAGACGTGCTCTCCTTCGTGCACAGCGTACCCAAGTAGCCCGTCACGCACTGTCCCCGCCGAGCCTCCGAAGGAACCTCTGCAAGATAGTGCCGGGAAGGGGCTGCGGGAGAAGAGCCCCCAGGTGGACGTTCCTGAGCCGCGCGCCGCGCCACAACTGCCGTGCGCAGCCGGAAGGGGGCCGCGGGGGACTCGCCGCAGCCCGGGCGATGCCTCGTCCTCCCCGCCACGGTTGATGCAGCGCCCGCACGCCGCCGCCCGCACCCAGACCCGGGTCTCCCGCCACTGCCTCAGCCTAGGTGAGTGTGCAGCGCGGCGCGGCGGGGCGGGCCGGGCGCGGGGCGGCAGGTGCGGGACCGGAGTGGGGGAGGTGCCCGGGGGCTCCCGCTTCGGAGTGCGGGGCAGGCGGGAGACCTTACGCGGCGGCGGAGGACGACGAGGCAGGGTCTCGGAGGACCAGACCTCGGGAGGCGCCGGACCCGGAGGCGCGGGGGGCGTCCCGGGCCGAGGAGCTTCCAGGCATGTGCCCCGGCGGGCCCTGTACGGAGGCGTCTGGCCGCAGGCGTGGACGCGAAGGCCGCGTGCGTGTGCGTGTGCGTGCGTGCTGGGAGGCAGCCCCCAGGGGGAGCTGGCGACCCCCGAACAGAGGTCGCGCGGCCGGCCTGCGCCCACTTGTCGTGGAGCACCGCGCACGGCGAGCGAGGGAGCGAGGGAGGAAGGCGGGGTGGGAGGGCGCTGCCACTTTAAAAGTGGGAAGTCCGCCCTGCTGAGGTAATGGCAGCCCGGCCTCCTCCCTCCCCCTGCCGGAGAAAACTTGTTTTCATTCATAACTTTTTCCTTTTCCTTCCTCCGTCAGCTATTTATTCGGCTCTGCTCCGCGCGGATCGCAGAGGGCGCCGCGCCACCGTGGTAACCTGCAGCGCGGCGGCGCCCGCGGCCCGGGCCCTCGCGGAGCGGGGCGTCGCTGCGGCGCGGGCGGGCTCGGGGGCTCGGCGCGCGCGGCCCCAGCCCCCCATGAGCTGCAGGGAGGCTCGGCGTGCCCCGCGCCACGCGGGCTGCGGACGCACGGCCCCGAGCGCCTGAGGTACGGCGCGGGCACGGGCGGGCGCGGGCGGACCTCGCGCTGTCACCAGCGACGCGGGGCTGGCTTCCGACCAGCGGCGGCCTATTTCCCTGGCTTTGGTGCTTTAGTCCGGCAATCCAGTGCTCCAGGAGCGTGAGCTTCTACCCCCGCCTTTCATGTGCGGGTTTAAGGGAGCTTGGTGGTGTGGCTTCCCGTCCTCGGGTTTTTCCCACAGCGTCCTTTCGGTGCAGTCGGTCCTGGTTAAGACTTTGGGGAGAATGGCGCACCGTGCGGGAGTTCTCCACCGTCCCCAGGGTCCCCGGGACTAAACCTGGCGGGCGGAGCGGCCCTTCTCCGCCAGTGCCCCACGGTGCGCGGGACTCCGAGGACTTGGCACATAGGCACGCTCTAGGGCGCGGGACTCAGGTACCAAGCCTCTGCCATATTCCTTACCACGGGTAGAATGGGCATTTCCTTCCTTTCAGTCTCTGAATTGGGTTTCATTGTGCAGTTTGGAAGGAATTAGTGCGAAAAATATTCTACTTTACCATTAGTTGGAAATGAAAACGTTTTTTATGTGGGTAGTTTGTTTTATAAAGAACACATTATAAATTAGAAATAATTTACTGTTAGTATGGAAACAAATGTTTGTTTTTGCCAGGATACTAGTGTATTTATTTTATTACAAGAAGCACATTAATTCAGACTTGGCAATGCTTTTGAAAATGAAGATCTGTTATGCAAATACAGGGTTTTAAGTTAAAGGAAATACAGATAATTAAAATGTCCAGGGTTTCCCCTGGTGGCTTGAAAGATCTAAACTTGTGTACAAAAGTTAATCTTGTTATGTGAAGTGAGCCCCGATTGCCACTTTTTAAGAAATCATTGCATGATTTCAAGTATGAATTCATAATATTCACAAAATGGGACATTGAGATGTTTTTGTGTTTTAGTGCCTATAAAACACCAACATCTGTTGTATTCCTTGTACATTCATTTTCGCATCTGATACACGAGAACTAACTAGCTAGAATCCTGATTTCAGCTGAAAAATTACCTCTGATTCTGAGATTCCATTTTATTTTGAATATCTTGACTATTTTGGAAAATGCCTTAATTTTTTCATCACTAATCTAAAGCTTGTAACATCACACAAATAACAAGAGGCGAAAGCACCAAAGCCATTCGTGATTTCTAGAAAGTAGTAGACATTCTCCTTTGTGAAAATCTGCAGTGAGCTGGTAATGAACTTTCTGTAGATGAGAGCTAGTCCATTGCACTACAAAGGCATATTTCAGTTTAATTATTCGTTAGATTCATAAACAGGAAGACATTACTTCCTCTTGATTCTGCTTTTTAAAAGCTGGAATAACTTCTAGTTTCTATGGCATGGGGTCTTTTGCTTACATTTTTCTATGATGGGGTCCACAGGCTCTCTTGCACTTGGATGCTGGCCAGGACCCCAGCATCACTGTAATCCATTGATGAAGGAGATCATTACCAGGTGATTTAGGCAATTCGTGATTTGACAGGACTTCCCCCTCCAGCCCTCCCAAAAAAATGCTTCCTGTCATTTATTTTCTGTTGTTTAGTTTTCATTTTGGATGTCTTTTTTAAGATTTCAGATGCTCACCAGGTTTCCCCTGATTGCCAAAATTCAAGATCACTACACATGGATCCCCCAAATCAGCATGGCAGTGGCAGGTCATCAGTTGTGATCCAGCAGCCTTCTTTAGATGGCCGACAGAGATTAGACTATGAGAGAGAGATTCAGCCTACTGCTGTTTTGTCCTTAGACCAGATCAAGGCCATCAGAGGCAGCAATGAATACACAGAAGGGCCTTCAGTGGTGAAAAGACCTGCTCTTCGGACAGCACCAAGACAAGAAAAGCAGGAAAGGACTCATGAAATCATACCAGTTAATGTGAATAACAACTACGAGCACAGACCTACAAGCCATCTAGGGCATGGAGGACTCCCAAGCAATGTCAGGGGCCCCATTTTGAGCAGATCCACCAGCACTGGAAGTGCAGCCAGTTCTGGGAGCAACAGCAGTGCCTCTTCTGAGCAAGGTCTATTAGGAAGGTCACCACCAACCAGACTGGTCCCCAGTCATAGGTCTGACAGGGCAATCCGGACCCAGCCCAAGCAACTGATTGTGGATGACTTGAAGGGTTCCTTGAAGGGGGACCTGACCCAGCACAAGTTCATTTGTGAGCAGTGTGGGAAGTGCAAGTGTGGAGAGTGCACAGCTCCAAGGACCCTGCCCTCCTGTTTGGCCTGTAACCGGCAATGCCTTTGCTCTGCCGAGAGCATGGTGGAATATGGAACCTGCATGTGCTTAGTCAAGGGCATCTTCTACCACTGCTCCAATGACGACGAGGGGGATTCTTACTCGGATAATCCTTGCTCCTGTTCACAGTCACACTGCTGCTCCAGATACCTGTGTATGGGAGCCATGTCTCTGTTTCTACCCTGCTTACTCTGTTATCCTCCTGCTAAGGGGTGCCTGAAGCTGTGCAAGGGCTGTTATGACTGGATCCATCGGCCAGGGTGCAGATGCAAGAACTCCAATACTGTCTATTGTAAACTGGAGAGCTGCCCTTCCCGGGGTCAGGGTAAACCATCATGAGTTTTGGAGGTGGGTTGGGCCTCCTGAACTTCTAGCTTTCAAGGTGTGGCTGTTAAAAAAGATCTTATTAGATACTGACTTTCTTCTCTTTAGAGTTTTTCTTGTCTCCTGCCTTCTCTTCCCTGTTCACAAGGTTTGACTCATGGATCTTGCTGTCCTCTTAAGGATGGTCTTCAGGAGGAGTGAACTGTGAAACTGCACCTGGCTCCCACTTAGGACAAGAGCCACTACATCCACTCAAGGGGGATGGAGAGGCAGTGGGCTTTTGTGGAGCCTCTTGGTTCTGCAAGCCACTTTCCAAAGTTGTGGTTATGAACACATACACAGACTGCAGTAATTTAGAGCTTGTTTGATTGGGTACTGTACGAGCAGGAGAAATTGGTTTTTGAAAGAAGCAACTGTTTACTTGCTTAAATAAGCTATGTATGGAATTCTCCAATTAGAGTTGTCTTCCTAGCGTTGGACCCTTCTGTAGCATGGGAAGATGTATTTTTGTCATAACATAAAGTTTCCCTTTAACACCTGCCCTCTCCTCTTTGTCCCTCAGAGTTCTCTTCCCTCAGTTTTGGCATTGCCTTAGTCTAGAAATGCCAGGTGGGTTTTCCTCCTCTTTCTTTCTGTGTAATTTTAGATTTGATTTACAGTGTAAATCTTCACATTGGAGATACGTCCGTTGTAACTTGTTCTTTCTTATTCTGGCTTTCATATTTGCGAAAGACTCGACTGCTTTCCCTCCACACCTACACTCTTCACCAAATTTTTGTTGTTGCTGAGGTCACTTGGTTTCTGAAGTAGAAATTTATAGCTGATCAATCTGTAGGTGTCACAGAACTGTGCCGCCTGTCATGGTCTTGGCTCCTTAACGGTCCTTTTGGCTCCGTGCTTAGTTAACAGCTGAGTAATTCTAATCTCTCCTGTGTTTTCATTGCCTTAGCCACAAATTGTGGTGCTTTTTGTATATTTTATGTATAAATCACAAAGTTTAATTCTGACTATTTTTAAGACAAAAGTCTGTTAAACTTTTTTATTGTAAAGAATATTTATTATGCGAATCTATTATTTTATGATATTTATTGCAAAAGACTGTTGAAATGTACTCATGTCTGAATATAACAAAATACCAATACTTAACGGAAAATAAGGTGACAGGAAGAAAGTACATATGTTAACTATAATGCAGAAAATATATTAATTAACGAAACTGTCTCTTGATTTCTTCATTTATTAGCCTGTACTATTACAGCATTTTTGCTGTTTGCTTTGACTTTTCCCCATATCTGCCCATTTTACTTCTTTCCCTCAAGATAGGAAGTCTAGACATAGGTGATGTCAGATTACAAACTGCATGTTTACTGGAAGGCACATTAGTCAGTACTTGATAACCCAAATTCTGCTTCATCAAATGCCCAAATGAATTACTTTGTAAAGTGAATTTTTTTGTAATATCAACAGTCACTCCCTACTTAAGCTGTTTTGTAAGCAAAACATTTATATCTGTTTCTTAAAATAGGACAAATCTGTAAGATTTTAAAGAAGTGTTTATCTTAACTTTTTTGGGCTAGTCAGAAATTAGTCTTTATCAGCAAGACCTGAAGAATTTAGTTCTGTAGATATGGTAGGAGTCTCTGCAGTTGTCACTTTAATAAAGCATTTTAGAAATTAGATGCACCAAAGAAACAGTTCACATTTTCAAAAGAGATGTTTTTAAAAAATTCTGTTCCTACCTTTTCATTTCCTTTAATAAGTCTTTAATGTGGCCTGACCAAATTGTATTTCTTCATGTCCAGTAGAATTTAAAAATGTGAGTGAGCACTTGAAATTTATAGAAAAAGTAAAGTATTTTGGTAGCTTATTTTTTTAGTCTGGTAAAGCCTCTACATAGCTAGAGTCTTTGGACCTGGTAAGATGTTTCCTGTGAGAGTCCTCAGACTCTGTCTCACCAGCTCCCTGTGGATAGATGGCATCCTCAATAATTATCTGCATTGAGAATGAAATGTTGATGTAATTAAACCCAGGTCATCAAAACTCTTACCCAGCTTTTTGTTTTTGTTATTACTCCTGCATGGTTTGGCTACTAATTTAGGACTGTTTCTTTATAAATAGGCTTCAATTTTGTTTTAGACAGCCAAAGTGTAATTGGTAGACACTTATTTTAATGGAGCTTTTCCATCAAGCCACTTAAACCTGTAAGTTAGTTGACAATGTGACATTTGATGTGTCAAATATTTTCTCTGCTCATCGGGAGAACTTTTTAATGGATATTTGTGTTTAAAGGGTACCTCATAATCTATAATATATTTTAAAATACGATCTTGAGTATTTTTGTCTTATGCCCAAGTCATATGATGTTATCACTAGTCTCTTAATATTTGCAGTATTTTGAGATTTGGCTCTTTAATGAAGTATATAAACATAGACTCTCTCAAAATACTGTGTGGTTTTTCTGTTATTATTCAGATACTTGGTATAATTAGGAGTTGGTATAAAGGAGTCTGTAGCTATAATAACCAGATGAAAAAGTAGTACTTTTTATTGAAGTTTATGACTTATGGGGATGAGGAATGTGGTAGAACTCTTAACTACTGACTATGCACAGAATTCATTCATATTATGGTGTTAGGTGTTGAGCTGCTGGTCTGCAGCTCTGGATATAGTCTGCACTTGGAAGTCACAAGAGTTTAAAAGTTTGTATTTCCAACAGCCTTGTCAGATGGCAAGGCATAAACACGTCCATTCGAAACTTCCTCCTTTGTGATGGTATAAACCTAGGGGAGCAATATTAGGGTGTGTTCTCATAAGTGCTTTGAGCCTCAGGCTTTAAAACCTAGTACTGATCATCATTTTGAAGTGTGAAGGCTTTGAAGAGCAGGAATATCTTACAGTGCCACTACGACTCATCTTATGCTGCTGGTTGTCAAATGGCAATCCCCGTGATGGACTAATGGTCTTTTTATTCCACACATTTGTTCCTTCTCCAACTTGGACCCCTAACAGAATGGATGCTTTTTGTTAGATGGGTCCTTTCCAGCATACTTCCTTACTGCCAGTTTTGTTTATTTCAGAGAAGTCTTCCTTATTTAGGTAACTTAATTGTGAGTAGGACCAATATGGGATTTCTGTAATTGAGTAGTTTCCCGTTAGCAGTTTATAAAATATAACCTAGTGGGAAAATGAAATGTGACTAAGTGGACATGTTTCTTTTTGTGATGGTTTAAGGTGAGTCTTTAAATATAGTCTGTTACAATTACCTTGTTTTAAAATCCAAACCATAGAATTCCCATTACTATTTAAAAAACAACAAGGAGCAACGACCAAAAAACAACAAATCAGTGGTCTTTAAAGTGAAAGGAAATGAGTTAAAAGCAAAGTATGTTTTCACCCTGCAATCGATATTCGACCAAATTTAATGTCCAGAGGATTGATTTTTGAAATGATCTCCTTTTCCTAAATCTTACCTTTTTTTAATAAAATTAAGTGATGTCTTACATGGTAGATTTTTACATATACCTTTAGTACAGAAAACACAGTCCCTTTTTGAGACATTGAAATGTTGAGTCAAACAAAAAAAGTGTATCTAGACAATTGTCATCTTAAGCCATCCAACCTCCCACCATACATTATTGCTGTTGGTTGTGAAACAGTCTTGCTATGTATCTCAGACTGGCCTCAACCTCCTGATCCTCTTGCCTCAGCCTCCCAAATGCTGGCATTACAGGTGTGCACCACTTCATCTGGCTTCATATTTTTTTAAATTTTAATTGCAAGAGAGATTGGTGTTTTTAAATATCTTGATAAGAAAATTGTAGATTCTTCTTTTGGCCAATTGACAGTTGGAGATCTATTTTTTCACTAATTCATTGATTAGATGAAATCAAAATACTCATGTACTTACCTGATTCTTCTTATATTCTCTCAGACTATTAGTAAGCCATTTTGCTAAACTTATTTTATATACAGTAGAATTTCAGAGTTAGAAATACAGCTCAGAGTATATCTTAATGTTTCTCAATGGTGTATGTAAACAAATAGATCACTAGTTAAGAACTGTAAAATTCAGAAATTTGTGTCACAACTCAGATCTGTGATAGAAGACCCTTCATGAGTGGGACCTGGCATTCTGTATTTTTTAAAAGCTTCTTAGGTGATTTTATTAGGCAGTTTTTGGAACTGATTGATGTAGCTGGATGTCTGCATTTAAGCATGCAGGAGTAGAGGTGTGGCTTGAGAAGGCAGCTGTTGTTGGTAGTTAAGGTAAAGCCAGGCCCTCCATCTGGTACAGGGCTGCTTCTTCCCTAAGCAGCCAGCCCAGTGTCTTTGGCTAAGCAGTCACCTTTACCTTTCTATTCTTTTTCAGAAAGCATTTGCTTCATAATCAGTGGTTTTTACCATGAATTAGGAAGTGGAGTGGTTTGCTGCACACATTGTTTGCCTCTCCAACCCGGAATAAGTAGCAAATGACTTTATTGTCATGAATATTTTTCATATGTTAAAATTAACAACTTAGTTTGAAAGCAGAGCATCTGTGTTTCCTCTGTCCAGATTTCTGTGGTCATAATAGAATAGATACATTTAATCAATTTGTAAAAGGTAATAGTTTAATTGGGGTTTAGATTTAAGAACTTGTGTGAAGATAGTTCTTACAGTTTTTCTAGCTGCATTAGGATTACAGTGATTAAAAAGCTGCATTAATTGTTCTATTTTGCATTATTAAAAAGATTGATGTCTGTTAAGGTCATACTAGATATGGTTCTAATTCTAATTGCAAAAAACCATCAGAAAACTCAGAACTGTTTTGAACTGGGTATTTAGGTAAAATAAACTAGCAGCATTCACTAGTGATTTGAGAGCTTATTGTGATAAAATAATCAGAATCATATTTTTGTGTAGAAACTTAGAGGTCATCTAATCTAGTCTTTACTTTAGGGATGACAAGTACAGGTTCAGAGAGGTTATGTGCCTAAAGTCATGACCAAGTTGCCAAAATAAACTTGACAAAAAAAGGAAACTACTTGCATATTCCTGTGGCAAATGGCTGGAAGGAAGGAAAAGAGGTTGATTAGGGGAGTTGGGAGCTGAACAGAAATTTTCGTTTAATTTATAAGTAATAAAAATGAACAATGAATTAGTGGTAGTCCACATCAGAGAAGTGCCATAAGAAGGGAGGAGACAGAAACTAGTTGAGTAAATCTGTTGAGAAAACTAGGTGTATGTTTGAGAAAACCCAGTTCTAGTTTGGCTAGCAGTGATGCTCACCTAAGCTGTACTGTGTGTGCATTAAAATCGCCAGAGAGCAAAGATACCACCACCAATGAACCGATGATCCTCAGGGATTCGCAAACACTCCGGAGGATTCTAAAACAAAGCCTCTGAGTTAAATTATCAGCGTGGGGAAATTGTGGAAGGGAAAAGAATAGAGACTAAGGTAAAGAGGCTAATTTAGAAAAAGCCAAAGGAATTAAGGTCTTCAGTGTGCATGTAGGTTAGAAATAGAAAGGGCAAATGTTTTGCAGATGGGAAATTTGTAGGACTTTGCAGTTATTTACATGTGAGCTTGAGATGGAGGAAATAATTGAAAAATAAGAAGGTTCAGGGCCTAGGCAAATGGGGGAATAGTAGTTCTGTCAAAAATGGGTGAAATTAGTTTGGGTGTGTGGAAGCTGAACTCTACTGAGGTTAAACAATGTGCCGGTAGAGTGGCCCCAGATGGTGAAGGTTATTGTCCAGGGGCGGGGTGTGATTGATAGGACTCTAGGTTGAGATCCCTAAGGGGAAGGATGGAATTAAGACCAGTCTTGGGCTAAGCCTTGAGGAACTACCTAATTTGGTGGCAGGGGTAGGATGTAGAGCTAATAGGTAAGTGGTCAAAGAAACTGGTGTGTTTTAGAATCTAAAGGTAGAGACTTTCGAAACAGAAATTTGTAATCAAACATCAAAAGCTATGAAGAGTCCCAGCCAAATTTAGTGGGTGATGTTTAGGTGAAAGTGTCATGAAAACCAGGTTGCATGAGATTAGGAAATGAGTGGGTAGTGAGGACATGCAGGGATGATATCAGGCTGTCCAGGCTGACATTCCTGGATGACAGGGAAGCAACTAGAAGCATGCAACAGCTGAGAACACTTTTTAGAATACCAGAAACTCCAGCCTTTTCAGAGGGCAGTTGAAAGAGAGAGAGAAGGGGGATGGGGAACTGAAGGAACATCATCTT